AGAATAGGAATTTGTATCCTTTGTGGAAGGTTCTGTATATACTTATTATCAACTACACTTGTGAAAATAATTTAAAAATGAAATTCTGTTTGAAAACTTACGATTTGCTCAGTATTCCAAGTAACATTTTAAAGATGTCATATGTTAAAGGTTAAAATATGTGCATATGAGGAGCAAAATTCTGGGTATCCTGCTGGCAAAATTTTTTTGGTTCTGGTTATCTGCAAAGTATACACCCCTTGTCAGTTTAAGTAGGGAGTGCCTGTGTAAACATTCTTGTTTCGCGTGTTCCACATAATCATTTCTTGTATCATATTTCTTCTGACCTCGCTATCTGAAACCAATTACAGGAGATCCATTTGGGCTGCATCTATTTTCATAAGAAGCCTAGGCAGCAGTGTTTTTCTCAGAGATGAGTATCAACATCAAATATGCTTCTGAGTGCTTTGTTATTTATGTTTCAGAGAGGTTTTGTAGCCTTCAGCTCTCAAGAATGTGTCACGCTGTGCTGTTTATACATTGAAGATATTAATGGGCGTAGATGTCATTTTTCATTTTAATGTCTCAAATGCAACAGGCTGATAGGTTAAGCATTCCTATTTTTATGGGGAGAGATATGAGTGATGTCTGTTTTTTTCCAAAATATACATATATTTACTTTGAAAAAAAAGAAGTTATTTATAAACCTGAGAGTACTTAACATTTTTGGTTTCACTGGTTGTTTCTAAGCTGTTCTCAAACAATTTTCCTTCTGGTGAGAGTTTTCAGTGTTCTTCAAGAAGGAAAAAAAAGTATTGATCTGGCAGGTTCCAAAGTTTTTTCACTCTTAATTCTCATAACGACCCACTCATTACAATTACCCTTTGTCTAAGAGGTTCCTAACTGACATAAAGTTATTACTACTTTACAAGTGTGATAGGCTTCAACTTTGCTTAACAAAATTTTTGTTTGTTTGAAATTACACAGCAACTATTAGGAATGATACTTGCAATAAATATTTTATGGCAAAATGCACTGAATTCTGGAAAACACGTACTGTCCCACACCTCTGCAGCCTAACAAAAAGTATACCTTTATTATAAAGATTTGTATTCATCTTTTCAAAATATTTTAATTTAATCTGATTCTAATTTTTAAAGTGTCCTATCTTAGTTTTCTTTAGCTTTACTAAAGTTAAATAACTTCATTAAGTGAAGTGCACCCTTAATTCACAACAAATACGTTTTTGAAAACTAGATATGGCTTGGCTGTCTTAGAAACCTTTCTTATTATTCATTTGCATCAGACTCAGTCATTATTAAAGGAAATTTTGCAAACATCTTTTGCCTTTTGTTCTAAATTAGTTGTTCTTTTTTTTGTTTTTGCCCTTGGTGATTATATAAATACCTAAATGGCTAATAGTACTTTATGAATAGCCCTTTTCTATTTACCAATTGAAGTGGACAAGCAATTTTCAAATTAATATTTTATATAATTTGACACCTAACACCTTATATTGATGGCAGTATTTTGTCTCATTATCTTTCATCATTTGAGGAGCTACAATAATAAATTGGAAAGATGAACTAAATGCCTCTGAGCATTTGTTTATTGAAATTCAGTCCTAAAATGTTGTCCAGAATACTGGAAATAGAAGTGTCTTGTGATGCCTGCAGTTAGAATGCAAACTGCCAAAGATTTCTGCTTATGAGTTTTAAATCATTGCTGATCTCTTGGAATTGTTTTTTGTCCTCCCGTCTTTTATGTTTACTATAGCAATCTCTACTGCTACTAAAAGAATGTTGATATAGGCAAGTAGTTTTTTTTCATAAGAGTTTGTATTGAAAGGTGATTCTTTACTATTTTAAAGATAACTGTAAATTCATATGAAAACCAAGGTACATTGAAAATAGTAGCATGTTTTAGCCGGCTGTCTTGTGGTATTCCATTATTATTATAACTCCTTTAAAAATGGCATACATTTTTTCTAGTGATATTTTCATGAGCTACAGTTCTAAATATATCTTGTTTTCTAATGGCTTTCTACAGGTACCAGGTGTTACATATTCCACTGGGTTAATGTTTGGGTTGAGTTGAATGAATACAACACAAGGTAGTGAAGGAGATAGGGTTCTAGGTTTGGGAGACAAGAGCCATAGCTTTTGACCACTTTGCTACTGCTTTGTGACTTTAGTCAAGTTATTGTAATATTGGTTTTTCAATTACCTGACTACAAAATGTGAAAGCTAGGCTAAACAATTTTTAAAGTTTAGTCCAGTTTTAGAATTCTTCAGTAATTTTTCTAGTAAAAACTGGTCAAATGATCAGAATTTTACAAGAGTTTAGAGCTCTATCAGGTATTGGTAGAGCATGTAATGAAATCAAAGTCAAGGATGGTAGGAACACTTAGCCCTAAAAACAATATATATTCTGTGATATAGTTCTATTCAAATTCAAATTATAAAAAGGTTATATTGTAGTTTCCCTTTTAAGTTCTGATAAATATATATGCCCTTTTTACAGGTAAAAATAATCTATTACGGTGCCAGAGCTCTCCTTTACTAACTGTTCTCCTTTACCAGAGTTTTACTCATTGCCCTCTAATCGTGCC